TCATACTGGCACTCAGCGCCCAGACTACTATCCTACAGCTACACTACCACCCTACGGAATGACGAAGCAACCAATTGACGTCAGCAGCAACAACCGAAGTACATGCAGATGTCGACCATGTAGACCCCTGCCACGACCACGTACGTGCCCTTGCATCATTACTCTCTCGCCCCCTCATGCTCACCCTCGACTTCCTCTTCCACGTCTCCTCACTACCCGAAGACCACCACCACCTCCGCTGTCTATCCAAGCTCAGCCCGGCTATGGAGGGCTGAGCTATGGCTCTGCCTGCTTGCAGGGCCCTCCCACTAGTGACCGCGCTCGCTTCTCTGCACTGGCACCAGCAGCAACGCGCAAGCATAAGCTCCAGCAGCGCTGCCGCCCGCTTGTCCAAGTGCCCAAATTCCCTCTACTCGGCCAGGCACTTCGCTGTATGCAAAGTGGCCTTGCTGGTTGGTCGCATGGCCTGCCTTGCGGGTGCCCAGTAGCTTCAGGTCGGGCCAAAGTGTCTGCGCTTTGGCCCATTCAGACAGTGGCCTGGGACCGAATTGGTTAGGCGTGCCCAACCACCCAGGCGCAAACATGCGGTGTTCCCTACTTCCCCTGTGTTGCTGGAAGAGCCTAGAAGGCTCACAAATATTTCTGATTCTCACGAGCAAGCCGGATGTAACCAACTGCCGCGTGGCAACTGTCTGGCACCCACCAAAGCTTTGCAGAATTGACGAATTCAGGTCTCATTGAAATTTGAGGGCCCGCCTTCACTTAGGGCGGGCACCTGCTTGCTGTAAGGGCCCCTCACGGGCATCCCAAGGACTTAAATCCTCGCATTTAAGTCATAGACCATTGTTGGTATGCATTAATTTTTGTTCTTCATCTTGCCTGCCTATGACGGTTCCATTAACTTTTTGGGACTGGCCGATTCCAATAAACACAAAGCCAATAGAGTACACTGCCAGCATCCCGCTTACCTGTATTCCTTTTCTATACTCTATATACTCTTACTAAAGTGTGCAGCGGGTCTCGTGTGACGCTCCCGCGAGGCCCAGCCGCCAGTCTTGGGGAAACAGTTGGGACACAAGGGTGGGCCCAGCAGAAACACTGGTCAGATTTGTGCAGCCCCTTTTTTTTTTCACGCGTGTGCGGGTTCGAGGGATGGGGCTATGCAGATGTTCGAATACAAGTATGTAGGGGAGCCTCGGTCCACCGGGACACTACTGGACAAAATGGCGGTCTATCTTCCCATGTTCCGACCGAAGATTTGTTCTGATTTTGTACAAGCTGCACAGGGGCATTTCGTTTGTTTCTTCTTTGTTGGCTTTTTCTGGCCCCACGCCCAGTTGGTCGGTGACCTCTTATAGGGCCTTGCTCCACTACTCTCCAAATGAGACTGGATCTTGCGCTGGAAATGGAAAGATCCAGCGCCATATTTTTTCCTCTTTTGTATATGTAGTGAGTAGTGGAACGACGCCCTTAGTTTTCTTCTTGCCACATTTCCTTGTATGGGTCTTGCTTCCCTACTCACGAAAATGAGAACGAATCTTTTGGAAGAAAGTGGAAAGATACACAAGCATATTTTCTGTCTAGCGACTGGTGAGGTGTTCTGTTCTCACTATGTGGTGTACTGAGTGTA